GGGGCCACGTTTTGGAAGTGAAGATCTGGAGCAGATAGGGCCCCTGCTGGATGCAAGGGCATGGGCTTCCTGGTGGGCTCCAGAGGATGGGTCAAAGTCTGAGGATGATTTCCAAAGATGGTTCATTCCTTGTCTTCTTCCAAGGGAGCCCCTGCGTGGGTGAGCGCCTGGTCTTTGTGATTGCATAGACTCAGTCACCCTGAGGACCTGATGTTTGTCTTCTTGTCACCAATCACATGCATGCCTTCTAACCAAACAGTTTGAGCTCCAGGACTTGCTTAAAAGGCTTCCAACTTCGGAGAGACCTCAGTGTGCATAGAGCCGGGCGGTGGGACCCACGGTGAGGAGACTGGTGCCCCTTCCTTAGGTCTCAGTCTTCCTTCTCCACTAGAAGCAGGGGCGGCAGTTCGATTACAGCAGCCACCATTTTCAAACTTTCTGCCCTGGAGCCACTCAGAGACTGTGACTGCAGTGGTACCACCTGGTCCAACAGTACCTCCTTCAATAAAGAAGCCGGATATTCTTTGCAGAGTTCTTGAAAGGAATAAATGAGGCGACATTCATAACAGAAGGAAATGAATGTGGTTATTACTTCAGAGTAATTCCATGGCCCTGGGCATAGTGTGAAGAAGTTTAAGATATTCAGGGGGCAGCATAGCCCCCAAAGCAGCTCATAACTGAGAGGAGAGGCAGACAGAGTCACAGAACCTGAGGCGCCCATCCCCACAGGCGGGTCTGTCTCCTCCTTGACACTGGGAGCACATGGTGAGAGTTTAGGTTCAGGGGGTGGGAACATTTGAGACCTGGGGGCAACTGAAGAAGCAGGAACACCCCTAGGTCTCTGGAAATAGCTGGGGGGCTCTGGGTGTAAGCTTTTCCTAAGCCAGCGTGAGACCCTGTAATAGTGAGGAAACACAGGCCAGCCCCATGTCTGCACATATAGGGGCAGTCTTGTAGCCATGCCCAACTGACTATCTGTGTGGCAGGTGTCCCACTGGGGTTATAGAGGGGTCAGTCTCTGCACTGAGAACATGTACCCCCTAAGGGACAGGAACTCGGGGTGAAGGGGCAGGAGCACTGGGGGGAGGAGTGGGACAAGTGGCAGATAGCACCCAAGTGACAACACTGTGGTAAGCCCAGGCTGAGATGCAGGACTGCGTTCTCTGGAGAGTCCTGGAGCTGTTCAGACTCACAGCCCTCCACCGCCTTCAGATCCGACACCTGTGCTGAGTGGTCTGGATCCCATCCCAAACCCAGACCCTCCCTGAGAAGAGGTGGCACCCACTGTCCTCGGCTTCTGAGCCTAGTGACATGGGTTAAGGTGTTTCTTCCCACAGTACAATCTGATCCAGGATGACAGACACACTTCAGACTGACACAGGTGTGGAGATTGTGTTCCCTCAGCATGACCTCACCCAAGCCGACACACATCTCAGGGCGACGGGGGTGTGCCACCTGACCTCATGACAACGGCGACACTTCAGACTGACAGGAGTATGGGAGTGGATGGTTCCAGAAGTACCGCCTCACCCAGACTGACAGACACCTAAGACTTACATCGGTGTGGGTTGTTCATTCTTTCAGCACAACCTAATCCAGACTGACAGACACACCTCTGACAGACATGCGTGTGGGAGGGGTTCATTATCACATTGTAAACTAACTCAGGATGGGGTCAGATACCCTCAGACTGACATGGGCATGGGGTCATTTGTTGCCACAGCACCACCTCACCTACATAGGCAGTCACACCTCAGGCTGACAAGAGTGTGGGGTTGTTTGTTCTCCCAGTGTGAGCTCACCCAGACTGACAGACACACCTCAGACGGACGTGAACGTGGAGTTTCTTATCACAACACCATCTCACTCATGCTGACAGAGTCACATCTGACTGACATATGAGAGTGGGTTATCTTTTTAAACCACAGTTTGACCTCAACTGCGTGAGAGATACAGCTCTGACGTGAAGATTTAGAAAGATCATCTGTAGTTTTACAGGCCCTGGTGGTCAAACATCTCTCTATCTTTTGTTCCAGCTTCATAGGGGAGCCTGCCCCCCATTCTGCCTGGTGCTTTGATTCTTGGTTTTGTTTCTGTGGCTCCTCTCCCACTCCTCTGCTACTCATCCTGTGCCCCAGCTCTGTGTCCTGGGCTGAAGAGATTCAATGTGTAGGGATTTCAGAGTCCAAAGAACACGTTCCATTCTTGGCTCTTCTTTGATGGTAGTGAGATTTCCCTTCTGAGATGGCTTATTTTATATCCAGCAGGATAGCAAAACTGACCAACTCCCTCATTAGATTTCTAAGTTTGTGCAACCATTATCAACACAATGCTGATCCTACAGTACCACACAGGGACGTTAAAAGTTACAATTCAGGGTCAGAAATGCTTGAGGTAGGACAGCCTCTCTGTAAGTCCTTGGTCCCTCAGGCACGGATCCATTGTGTCCTGAAGCTCCGTTAGCACTGCTGATAAACTCTGGAGGATGGTGCCTGTAGCTGCTTCATTGGGGAGCTGTGTTTGCTCACCTATGGACCTGGCAACCAAGCATCTTCAGCCTGAGACTTCTAGCCGAATCAAGTGTCCTGGTGCGGTGCTCTAGGATCACCACTGGATTACTAACCACAAGGTTGGCGGTTCAAAACCACCAGTCACTCCTTGGAAAATCTCATCCAGGGTCATTATGAGTCAGAACTGGCTGGAGGGAACTTAACAACAACTTCCCTGTTCACCTTTCTAAGTGTGAGTATGGGGTTGAGGGCTGTGTGGTTACTGCAGTTATTGAGCCCAGCTGCAGGAGGAATGGTTGGTGTCCTTTTGTGGATGTCTGCACGTCTGCTGTCATGTTTAATGATCTGTGGGAACTGATGCTTTCTTGTCCCCCACCCGCCACCCTGGACTCAGTGCAGACTAGAGCAGACAGCCACAGTTTTCCTCAGAGACCCAACACAATTCTCTGAAACAGGCTCTATAGCTGTGGTCTCCTGTGGGGGCGCCCTCTGCTACAGGACAAAGAGTAGGGCCCATCCACTGGTCATGCCTGGCCTGGATTTCAGCACAGGGGCGCCAGAGCCGAGACAGAGGGAAGCAGAGAGCCCGTTCCTCTCCTGGGGTGCACATCTGGCCATGGGAGCAGGCAAGGTCGGCCGTGCTGGGGTGTGGGCAGTCACTGAGGAATGGAACCCTGGATAGAATGCTGCTGAAAGCCATCCACTCGCCAAGTGCTGACGTCAGCGATGGTCCCTGAACACCGACAGACAGTCCCATGAGGCCATGGGACGCTTGTGTGAACTCGGAGCACTGTGCTCTGGGGGAGGTCCACACCCCAGCACACACTGGAGCGCTGTTACCCCAAGATGCCTATCCCCCTGAAAGCCAGTCCCATCCCCTCTGCAGACGCGCTGCTGAAACTTGCTGCCCCTACCTTGCCCATGGGTCCTGCCAGCTATAGCCCCTCTCCCAGGACACCACGGCCGGGGGACAAGAGCCATGCTTAGCAAAGGATTTTTTCTTTATTTTCATAATTTAGCTGAATCAACACAAATTGAATACTGTAAAACAAGAAAAAAAAAAAAAAATGCGGTAACATCTTAAATCTCCGGTCTCGACCCACGAAGATGTCTACACTCCCCAAAGAACCCAGCGAGGGAGAAGCGGGGGACCCAGGGCGTGCTGGGCCAGGGGACGCCTCCCTGACAGCCCATTGAAGTCGAGGGTGGGGGGGTGGGGAGTCTGGCCAACTAGGGGCTACATCCTCCCCGCCCTACTCTTCTGAGATGGATGAAAGCAAAAATTTCAGCCTGTCTTCCGCTAAAGGTACCATAATCTGGACATGGGTGCTGAAGGGACGTAAATTAAATACTCATGGTATTGGGGCGGGTCTTAAATAAATGGATTTTCTTTCCTATCTTTAGTCTATGGTTCGGGAACAGTTTCTATATAGTTTATTATTATTATTATTTTTAGTAGCATAGAACTAGCATAAATACTCATGTTAATTGGACTTTTAGGTAGTATACTTCAGCGAAACTTAGGAAAACTGAGAAGCCTGGCCTACAGGAGCCAGGAAAAGGAAAAACGGAAAGACCCCATCTTCCAAACCCTTAGGCCTGGACCCCACCTGGCTGGGGAGGTGGGCACCTGCGTTCTGGGGGTGCTGCCCTCCCCATTTCCCATCTGTTGACATGAAGACAGGGATGAGGGCGCACAGCAACCTGGGAAGAAGAAATCGGCTGGACTGGATCCCCAAGGTCTACCAATGTGGACAGGATTGAGCGTAGGAAGAAGTAGATCCGTCGGAAGAGGTGTGGTCCAACCGTGCAGCTTCAGCTGTTACCAACACACAGACCAAAGGGGAGATGAACCACAGGACCCTAACCCAAAGGGGAAGAGGAACCCGGCCTCCCCACGGGACACAGGCTGTTGCGTAGCGTGGACATCCCAGTCCTCAACTTGTTTCTCCCAGAGTCCGGCCCCTCACGTCCAGCGCCCCTAAGTCCAAGGGGGTGCATCCGCCTCACCACCACGTCCCCCCGAAAACACAAGGACTCGGCCTACCCGCTTCTCACGCTGGCCAGGGCTACCACATTAATTGTTAAATAGGATTCTCTACAAATATACAACATATAAAAACTGTTAAATATATAACTTTAGGCTTTGCAAAATACATTTAATGATCTCTTTCAAACAAGTGTTACTTTAGTTTCCTTTAATTGGCTTTCTGGAGCTAAATGGTGTGTCGGATGAGACAGCGGTCACGAGAGATCCAACATGCTCTTGGCAAATACTGGATTATCCAACTATCAAAAATGGAACTGTAGAAGAGGCATGTTTAACTGGTTAAAACAGAAAGTGATTTTAGTACAATCAAGTCCACCCAATACACAGGGAGGCGGTGACATCCGGCCGAGGTACCGAAGGGCATGCGGTGTCTGCCCGGAAGACATCCTGCCTGGGGTCCACAGGTGGGACGGGGTCCTTCCAGTCTCCAGCACCTCCCTTCAGGACTCACCACAGTGTTCGTGGGGCGGGGGTCTCTGCCTCGGACCCCCTCTGCGTTCTGTCGTGGATGAGGGCACGTGTCTGTCGTCACGTTCCCGCTGCCTTCCCGCCCCACTGTCCAGCCCAGGGGACTTTGATCGCCTGGGTGCGTCCACTGTAAAATAGATTTTTCTCTTTGGTCTATTGAATATACTGAAAGTATAAGAAAATAAAAGCGATTCGGACAGTCTGGGGCTCAGCCAGAGGTTCGTGTCCACACCTGAGTGTCCTTCCATCGGCTGGGGCTCCTCGGAGGCTGGCAGGGCCCTGGCCTCCTCCGACCATCGGCACGGCCCCTCCTCTCCTGCTCCCGGAGGCACCAACCGAGTCACGTCCCCTGGGGGCGGCCGCCCAGACGTCCCCCTCAGACTGTGTATTGCTAACGCCACTCTCAGCTCCCCGCCTGCTTGTTTCAGTCTGGGCTCCTGGAAGCGGTCGGGTGGGCTGGAGCTCAGGGCGCCCTGCAGCGAGCTGTCCTGGGTGGACCTCGGGGAGCCACGGGGGTAGATGGTGGAGGGCAGGTGAGGTCCACAGTGGATGCAGGACGGTGACGGCCGTGGGGGCTCTCCACGGAGTCAAGACCACTCCTGGAACCCTTCTTGAGCTGTGTTTGTCAGGAGACCTGAGGAGCAGAGAGAAGAGCGAAGTCAGCTTCTGGCTTTAGGTTTTAGGCTTTGCAAAATACGTTTTGCAAAGAGACATCCGCGCCCTACCCAGAAATGGTATGAGGCAGTGAATTCTTGTCTCTTCTAGCCATTGTCTTTGCAAACTCCCACCAACAACAGCTTTGCCCTGATGGGTCTGGTTAAGAGAAGGTGGGGGAAGATGCTGACAGTATTTTATAACAGGCTTAAGTGTGATTTGTAAAATCCTGAAACACTAACGTGCATAAAATGAGCCCCCTCAGAAGCATGAAGTGGGGACATCTCATCTATTAAAGAAGAGGCAGGAGTGGATTGTGTCTTTGCACTTGGAGATCCGTACACACTGAACCTCCCAACCCCAGGGCAGAAAGTTGTGACATGGGGGGAGTGGCAGAGGAGCAGCAGTGGAACCAAGATCCAGGGTCCCAGCCCACTGGCAAGTAAATATGAGTGACTTTGGTAAGGAAGCTTGCTTGCAGAATGGGGTGCCTCAAGGCACTTAACTGGGGGAGCTAAAGCCAAGAGCCATCAGACAGATTTATGGTGGAGCTGTGTGCCCTGTTTGCAGTTATCAGCAGCACTAAAAGACCTTTGTAACATTGGGGGGCAGAGAAAATAAGTAGAGACCGGAAGAACGGTTCCCTAAGCATTGTTGATTCTGAATTGTACCTGGTGGGGCGCTATGGTTTAATGTGCGGGACTGCAAGGTCGGTGGTTCAAGTTCACCAGCCGCTCCTCAGAAACTCTATACAGAGTCACTATGGGTCAGAACCAACTTGACAGCACTTAACAACAAAAACAACTTCCCCAATCAGCTCTGTGAGTAGGATGTGTGAATTCTGTGTGGTTGTTGCACTGAATTGTCGAACCCAGCTGAGCACAGAAGGCTAGAAGGCTGTAAGAGGATGCCTTGACACTCAGTTTTTCGAGAGTGGTCCTCAGATGCTCCTCTGGCCATTTTTTTTCCCACCCCCAATTCCCCTCCAGCGGTAGACTTCTATTAGTGTTACCTACCAAGGTCGGCGGTTCAAGCTCGCCAGCTGCTCCTCAGAAACCCTATACCCGGTTGCTATGGGTTGGAACTGACTCGACAGCACTTAACAACAACCATGGAGTAAGCTCTGACTCATGGCGACCCCATAACCTGTCCTATGCCATGTGTAGAACACACCTTGAGATTCACACCTTGTTACTGGCTGGATTGGGAAGTAGATCTCCAGATCTTTCTTAGTCTGGAAGCTCTGCTGAAACCGGATCAGCATCCTACAACACACAGATCTTCACTGACAGATGGGTAGTAGCTGCACATGAGGTAGATTTGCTGGACTTGAACCTGGGTCTCTGCATGGGGGGTGAGGTCTCTACCCCTGACCCACCAGCACCTTTGTAGGTCTTTCAGGGATCCTAAACAGAGAGCTCCAAATCCGGGGTGGTGTGGGGGTGGGTACCAGTAAAATTCATGCTGGCAACAGAGAGTGCCCCTGGGAACGTTACACCTGGCCTTGATCTGGGAGCTACGTGGGTTCAGGTCCCCACCGTGGTCAACAACAGGTCTGTCCACCCAGTTGGTCTCTACAGGTGCAGGCTAAGGGCAACCAGAACTAAATGGGCACCCCATAGAGTCCATGGCATCCTGCCCAGCACCCCTCTGTCCCAGGACAAACCAGGTGAGGCGTCACCAAGTCAGGTGTATGGAGGGGAAGGGCCAGCACATTGTAGTATTGGGGCAGTGTGGATATCAGCTCAGTGAGACCCAGACAGCCGCTCCAAGGAAGGATGGGAGGAAGTGGTTTCCTGCACAGCACCACACCTCACTTGGCCTGGACCAGCCGTGTCTGCACGCCACACCTCCCAAGACATGGACTGCTCCGTCTTCCTAGCAGGGACCCCAGACCCCTTTCTACACAAAGACATGTCTACCTGGAACCTGTGAAGGTGACCGCATATGGTAAAAGCATCTTTGTAAACTCACTAAGCCAAGCTTCCGGAGCTAAAGTCAGCTCACAACGCCCAGTTATTGTTGTGCCATCAAAGTGACCCCAGCTCACAGTGATCCCAAGTGACAGAGCAGGACTGCTCCAGAGGGTCTCCTCGGTATCTTCTCTTTACAGGAACAGATTGTGGGGTCTGTCTTGCCCACAGTGGCTGGTAAGCTTGAATTGCTACTTTAGGTTGGCACCTGAGTGCTTAGCCATCTTGTCACCAGGGTGCCTTTCATCCATGTTATACCACAAAACAAGCCCAAACCCAAATCAAAACCCACTAGAGCTGACTTGATGGCACTTAAGAGCAATAACAAATCTTTACAAGATCACTCGGAAGGTTTACATCTCTGGGCTCTTTAAGTGTTCAGAGAGCCCTACAATCATGTCTGCCCCTCATGGGCTTACAGGCCTGCTTCTGGAAGGGTCTGCAGAGCAGGCTCAGGACCCCACAGAATAGGATTTCCAGACCCTTTCCAGCTCCTGCAGGGTCTGGCAGTAGCCCCCCTCTGGCTTCCCCAGCTTGCTTTTCCTTGTGCCATTCCCAAGGGCCAGGGGCCTCCATTCTCACATGCCTCTCCACTCTGGGGTGCAACAGTTAAGTGAGCAGCTGCTAACTGAAAGCTCAGTGGGAGAAAGATCTGGCGACACACTACCATAAAGATGATAGCCAAGAAACTCTCACGGGCAGTTGTACTCTGTAACACACCAGGGCTTCATGAGTCAAAGTTAACTCGACAGTAACAGATTTGGTTTTGGTTTAAGGAACAGATTCTACAAGGAAATTGTTGCTGGTTGTGTTTGTGTTGTTGTTGTTATATGCCGTGGAGTCGGTTCCAACGCATAGCGACCCTGTACAGGGTTTCCGAGGCTGTAAATCTTTACTGGAGCAGAAAGCCTCATCTTTCTCCTGTGGAGCGGCTGGTAGTTTTGAACTGCTGACCTTGTGGTTCGCAGCCTGATTCATAACCACTGGTGGTGCTTATGTGCTCTCAACTTGGTTCTGACTCACAGCAATCCTGTATAGGGTTTCCGAGGAGTGGCTGATGAGTTTGAACAGCCGACCTTGCAGTTCAAACGGACTTCGAAGTCGAGTGTTTATCCTACGGTGCCACACCAGGACTCCACATGGAAATGGGTTGTGTGTTGGGCTGCAAACTGCAAGGTCAGCAGTTCAAACCTACCAGCTACACCTCAGGAGAAACAGGAGGCGCCTGTAGAGATTGGTTGATGTTGTTATGTGCCGTCTAGTCAGTTTCGAGTACTAAGTGCCTGTTCTTCCAGCGCATGAGAGGCAGAGTCCCAGGGCAGACTCCCAGGGCAGCCCGAAGGCTAAAGCTCACCTTAGTGACTCTACAAAGATGCTCAGCTGCTGACCACGGGGGGAGAGGTTTGAGTCTGTGCAGAGGTGCCTTGGAAGGAAGACCTGTTGGTTTTTGGAATCACTTCCAAAACATCATCCCTTGAAACCGCTAAGGAGCTCAGCTCTATTCTGAAATCCAGAGAGCTATGAGTCGGAATCCACTCAATGGCAGTTGGGAGGTTTTTAAAGGAAATGATGATTTGCCACATGGATCCCCAACACTTTCCTCAGGCTTTGACTGACTTCTCAGTTTCCTGTAAGCTGTGTTTGACTCACACAAGTCTGAGATTTTAAACTTCTCTCCTTGGTTCTTCATTCATCCTAGATTGGTCCATTTACTAAACTCTTGTTTTCAAGGCTTATCCTCTTCAGCCTCTGATATACATAGTTCCTCATCTGCAAGTAACAGGGACTCAGTTTCTCATCTCCAATATCTATCTGATGGTGCTGGGCAGGACCTCTGGAGTGGAGTCCACAGCAGTAGGGACCACAGCCTCCCTGATTACCTGAAGTATGGGCAGGGGCAGGGAACAGCCTCGGGGACGCTGCTGCCTCTGGTACAGGTGACCATTCTGTGCCAAGAAAGACCTCCCTTCTCTGCCAGGTCAGCCAGGAGCATGATACTTACTGCTGTTGCTGAAAATGTTTGCCTGTTTCATGAGGAGCAAATGTTGAGTCTGCCCGTATCCTGGTGGCACTGTGGGTTAGGCATTGTTGGACCGCTGACTGCACGGTCGGTGGTTCAAACCCACCAGTGGCTCCTCTGGAGAAAGATGAGGCTGTCTTCTGTACAGCTGCTGTGAGTTGGAATCGTGTCTAAGGCATCTGGTTTAGTTTTGGTTTTATTAGCACCTTGTCAGCATTTTCTGAAGCTGCCATTAAGTACTGTTGAGTCAGATGTAAATCATAGCCAACCCTTACTAATCGGGCTGCGAACCTCAGGGTCAGCAGTTTGAAACTACCAGCCGTTCTGAGGGGGAAAGATGAGGCTTTCTGCTCCTGTAAAGATTTATAGCCTCGGAAACCCGGTACAGGGTCACTGTGAGTCAGAACAGACTCCACGGTACTTAACAACAACAAACATCAAAAGGGCATGACCTGGTTGGTCTTGTACCAACCAAACCAAATTCGCTGCTGTCGAGTTGCTTCTGACTCAGTAACCCCACACAACACAGGGTTTCCAAGGAATTAAACCTTTGTGGAAACGGACTGCCTCATCTTTCTCCCGAGGTGGTTGTTAAGTGCAGACAAGTCAGTTCAAACTCATAGGGACCTTCTGAGGAGCTGCTGGTTGGGTTGAGCAACCAATCTTGTGGTTGGCAGTTCAGTGCTTAACCTACAGTGCCATATCAGGGCTCCAGGAAGAGTTGGTATATTTGGCAACAAAGTGTTAGTCCACACTGCTATCAGGGCTCTAGTCCTACACCAAATCAACAAGTAAAAACCAAAACCGACTGTCATCCACTCAATCTGATTCAGTGCGACCC